TTGGCCGCACTACCCTCCTGAGATCGTTCAACTTCCCTTTCTAGGGTTCGCTTAGGGCAGCTGGATCGAAGATGGCCCTTTTCTCCACAGCCATAGCACCTAGGGCTGTATCCTTTGTTGCGGTCGCGAACTGTAGCTGCTGCAACCTCCCTGACGCGATGGGAACAATGATCCTGCCGCACGGCTTCCACCTCCAGTGCATGAGCCAAGGCGTCTTTAAGCGTCTCGTGGTGCCTGAGCCTCACAGCAGCTCTGACTTCGAGAGGTCGCGGACACCGTCGATGAATGTCTGCACCAGGTTCCCTTCAATGAGCGCAGGTACAGACCGGTATGCTTTTCGCACCAGCTTCTCCACCTCTAGAGCCCACTGCTGCAGGTTTTCGTTGATGCGCTGCACGTGATCTTTAAGCTGCGCACGAAAGACGTGTTCCAGGTGAGCGTTGCCATATCTCGCCTCCAATGCCTCAAGGAGTTGCTCATAAGTCACTTCCTCACCGAGAGCTTCCAGACTGTTAAGGCCTGGTCGCGCAGGCCTAGTGTGAGAGCAGTCATGGCCTGACTTTTATTCCAGACGTTCCCTTTCATAACAGCCTCGAACTGGATTTTGTAGGCTGACCAGGAAGAAGTCCCGTCGAACGGTCGCACCTTGAACCCACGTAGCGAAGGTGTAGTAGCTACTACGGGAGCTGTAGTTCCATCCCCAAGTTTGAGTTCGTCCAGTGATTTCTTCATGTCAGCCATTACGTTGTCAACCCGATTGTTCACTTGGTCGATTCGGGTTTCGGCTTTCTCGATTCGGGTTTCAGCTTTCGCGATTTGGGTTTCAGCTTCTAACAGGCGGTTGTCATTCTGAGCAACCCTATCCTTCACCTCTTTAATCTCCTACCCGAAGGTAGCGTGAAGGTCCTTCATGAGGAGCATCTGCTCTTCCAACCGACGGACCTGTTCCTCTCGTCCGTCCCGCAGCTGCTCTTCCAAACGACGGACCTGTTCCTCTTGTCCGCCCCGCAGCTGCTCTTCCAACCGACGGGCCTGCTCCTCCTGTCGGCGAGCCTGCTCCTGCAGCATCACCATCAGAGCACCTAAATCAGGTGCTGCAGATGTAGGAGCTACTGACGAGCCTGCAGCCGGCGGCTGGCCTTCCGACGTCTGCGGCGTTGCACCACCAAATCTTCTTCGGTCCGTCTCCTGCTGGCGTTGACTTCGGGTAAGAACACCCTCCGTTTCCTCCTTAGGTAAAATCGGCATGATTTTATCCCACTTCTAACACCAATTGTTACGAGCTTGAGGTTCGTGACAATAAAAACTGCCGATAAGATTACCTAAATTAACACTTTAATTTTCTTTACACAAATTAAAACTTAAAACACCAATAATTAAGCACACTAATTCACTTTATTCCGCTCCGAAGCTTCGCTTGTCTCGCCAAATTCAATACTTCCCCGATCGCACCTTGCAGCGCATATAAATACACATTAGTACCAAATCATCCAGAACATTCAAGTAAATACGCGCACCAATCAACAAAGCGCCGAAAGTTCGAGAGTCAGCTTCCAGAAACTTAGTTCTTCATTTCGAAAACAGATGGCGCTGTCGGTTGAATGATTAGTGATGTCATTTTCTGGAAAGCTTTCCCCTCGCTCCGTTACCCGACACTAGATGGCGCTAGTGCCAGATGTCAACTTAGCCGCGCAACAGTACTTTCGTGAACAGCGCTTCGATATGACAACAAAAACGGTTGTATGTGCTTGTCCCAATCTCGTTGCCGATTGTCTACAACTTTTGCTAGGTACCTCTCCAATGTCTGATTAAATCGTTCTACCATTCCATCAGATTGCGGGTGATAAGAACTCGGCAAGTTTCCTGGAATATTTGAGACTCAAAATTCCTTCTTTGATCGCTGTGAATCTCTAAAGGTACCCCAAAACGACAGAAGACTTCATGAACTAGTTTATCTGCAACTGTTGAAGCTTCTTGTTTGGAATGGCGAAGACTTCTGGCCTCTTGGTGAAGTAATCCATCACAATCATGAAATACTTGTTACCGCTTTCACTCTCCGGAAACGGCCCCGCTACGTCAATGGCTATTCTCTCCCATGGTGCACCAACATTGTACAACTTCAATGCACCTCTACTACGAGTCTGAGGTCCCTTTACAGCCGCACAACTTGTACATTTGCGACACCAGTCCTCGACATCGTTTCGACAGTGAACCCAGTAAAACCGTTCTCGGATCTTCAGTAAAGTTCGTTTAACTCCCAGATGGCCTCCTGAACAATCATTATGGTACAGCTGTAGAACATCCGGTACTCTAGCTTTAGGGACGACCATTTGCAAATGACAGCTGTCTCCCCGAACATTTTCCCATTTACGGCACAGAACTCCATCCTGAAGCAGCAAGCTGTCCCACTGGGCCCAATAGCTTTTAGTGGTCGATCTCATCGCTGAGACGTCGCTCCACTTGGGCTTGGGAGCACTGGCCTTCATCCATTCCAGAATCGGCTTGATGTCCGGATCTTCCTGCTGTGCATGTCGTAGGCTGTCCTTCCACTCGTTGCTGAGGTGGTCCGTCCTGAGCATCCTCACGGATACAACTTCCTTACTCTCTTGCCTAGTACAATGTTTCCAATCTTCAGGACAAGGTCTTCTTGACAATGCACCTGCTTTGCCATGAGATTTCCCGCGCGCGAGGGGAACGACGATCCTGCCACCGCCAGGCGGTGCCGTTAGCTGCACTACCCTCTCGAGATCGATCAACTTCCCTTTCTACAGTTCGCTTAGGGCAGCTGGATCGAAGATGGCCCTTTTCCCCACAGCCATAGCACCTAGGGCTGTATCCCTTATTGCGGTCGCGAACCGTAGCTGCTGCAACCTCCCTGACGCGATGGGAGCGAAGATCCTGTCGCACGGCTTCCACCTCCCGTGCATGGACCAAGGCGTCCTTAAGCGTCTCGTCGTGCCCGAGCCTCACAGCAGCTCTGACTTCAAGTTCGCGGATGCCGTCGATGAATGTCTGAACCAGGTTCCCTTCAATGAGCGCAGGTACAGACTGGTATGCTTTTCGAACCATCTTCTCCACCTCATGGGCCCACTGCTGCAGGTTTTCGTTGCTGCGTTGCTGCATCGCTGCGCGCGAAAGACGTGTTCCAGGTGAGCGTCGCCATATCTCGCCTCCAAGGCCTCAAGAAGCTGCTCGTACGTCACTTTCTTACCGAGAACTTCCAACACAGTTAAGGCTTGGTCGCGCAGGCCTAGGCTGAGTGCAGTCATGGCTTGGCTTTTATTCCAGCCGTTCGCCTCCATGACGGCCTCGAACTGGATTTTGTAGGCCGACCAGGAAGAAGTCCAGTCGAACGGCGGCACTTTGAATCCACGTAGCGAAGGTGTTGTAGCTACTGCGGGAGCTGTTGTTCCATCCCCAAGTTTGAGGTCGTCCAGCGTTTTCTTTACGTCAGCCATTACGTTGTCAACCCGATTGTTCACTTGGTCGATTCGGGTTTCAGATTTCTCAATTCGGGTTTCAGCTTCTGACAGGCGATTGCGGTTGTCATGTTGAGCAACCCTATCCTTCACCTCCTTCATCTCCTTCCCGAAAGCAGCGTGAAGGTCCTTCATAAAGAGCATCTGCTCTTCCAACCGACGGGCCTGTTCCTCTTGTCCGCCCCGCAGCTGCTCTTCCAATTGGCGTGCATGTTCCGCCTGCTGGCGGGCCTGTTCCTCCTGCCGGCGAGCCTATTCATCCTGTCGGCGAGCCTGTTCCTCCTGCTGCTCTTTCAACCAACGGGCCTCCTCCTCCAGTCAGCGAGGCTGCTCCTGCAGCATCACCATCAGAGCACCTAATTCAGGTGCTGCAGATGTAGGAGCTACTGACGGGCCTGCAGCCGGCGGCTGGCCCTCCGACGTCTGCGGCGTTGCACCACCAAATTTGCTTTGGTCCATCTCCTGCTGGCGTTGACGTCGGGTACGGACACCCTCCGTTTCCTCCTTAGGTAAAATCGGCATGATTTAATCCCACTTCTGACACCAATTGTTACGAGCTTGAGGTTCGTGACAATAAAAACTGCCGATAGAATTACCAAAATTAACTCTTTAATTCACTTCACACTAATTAAACTTAAAACACTAATAATTTATCACACTGATTCACTTTATTCCGCTCCGAAGCTTCGCTTGTCTCGCCAAATTCAATACTTCCCCGATCGCATCTTGCAGCGCCTATAAATACAAATTAGCATCGAAACATCCAGAATATTCAAGTAAACACGCGCAAGGGGTCGAGAGTTCGAGTGTCAGTTTCTAGAAGCTTAGTTCTTCGTTCCGAGACTAGATGGCGCTGTCGGTTGAAAGATTAGTGATGTCGTTTTCTGGACAGCTCCCCTCGCTATCGTCCCTGACACTAGATGGCGCTAGTGCCGGGTACATGACATGGAATTATTCGCGGATAGGATAGGATAACGTATCATAGGAATATATGACTTCAAAAGTAGCACTGTTGACTATGATGATGATGCCGTTCTAGAAATTATGAATAATATTACATTTTAGTATAAGTAATTAAGCAGTAGGTAAGTATTTAGGCGTTCTTATATTTTAAAATACTCACAAACAATATGTCGCATACATATTTCCTATACTTTTATTTTATGAGTTACGAACGAGTTGGGCAGTTGGGCACTACATCAAAGAAATTTTACTTACGAGAACCTATACATAGGGTATTTTAAGGGGGATTTTAAAAAATCTTGGGGTAATTTTTTGGTAGGAGTTGGCAGCACTGAGATAAAATATGTCAAAAATCAAAAACACAAAACTTGAATTGACTTGAACTAACTTGAACAAAACATATCGCTTATCGTCGAGAAATCAAAATCAAAAAGCATAACATATCGCTTATCGGCGAGGCGATTTTGCCCTATAGAGTATATTATATATGGGCGATTTAAACACAATAAACCAAGGAAACCTGTACTGCGTTATCTTTAGAGATTGTTTAAAATTAATATGCCTTTTAATTATACAAAATGTTTTGTTACAGTAGGTACAACACGCTTCGATCTACTTGCCGAATTTATCACCTCGCAACCTATACTTCACGCTCTAAAACAAATTGGTTGCAAAGAAATAACCTTTCAAATAGGAAATAGCGGCATTGACCCAGGAGAATACGAAAAAGAAGGAATAAAATTACATTTGTATCGGTTTAAAGATTCTATACAAGAAGATATCAATAAAGCAGACTTAGTCATTAGTCATGCTGGTGCCGGAAGTTGTCTTGAAGCTTTAGATGCAAATAAGCCGCTTTTAGTTGTTGTTAACGAAGATTTGATGGATAATCATCAGTTAGAATTAGCAGAACAATTGCAAGTTGGTGGTCACTTGTATTATTGTACATGTGACACTCTGGAGAGCACATTAGGAGCAGTCGATTTTAGTTTGCTGACTCCATTTCCTAAGCCAAATTCATCATTATTTGTTAAATATTTAGATGACGTGTTAAAAGTAAAAAATTGTATGGAATAGTTTGTACTAAACCATAACATATTTTATATGCATACATAAACTAACTCCTGTCACCTAACCCAGGCCTATGCCCAGCAGTGGGACGTATATAGGCTGTAACTTTACTTTTACAATATATTGCCAATTTGGTTGATAAACTTCTGTCTAACATCCCTGGCCGACTGCTACTCCTCCACCATAAATTTGCTTTGTCCCACTTTCCTCATTCATGCGATCCTTTCTATAGGATCAAACCACTGAAAACTGTTTCTAAATCCTAGTCACAACATCTATAAGTCAAAGCTAAATTTTCTATTCATAATGCTCTTGTAAATGTTGTACACACCTTTTAAAAAAACTGCACAATTCCCAAGCTATCATTCAGAATCCCTGATAAGTTCTTAATTTCCACAATTCAACATACATACATATATATGCACAAATATTATGACACCCATTGGACAAGATTTTATCAAAATAAAATCTAAGTTAAAATTAGTTCTTATAAATAAATGGTAGTTTTTATTCAAGATCTATATTATAAGTTTAAAGAACTATAATATCAAAAATAATGTTGAGGATAAGGATATTTACAGTAATATAAAAGGGGGATGCCCACTGTTCATAGACACTTCGGCCATGGGTGCCCACATATAAAAGCATATGGAAATGATAATATGCAATTAAAATAATATATAACATATTTTAAGCAACATAATTAGTTATATATATCATAGTTTGTAAGAAATATTATAAATGTGTAAAAAGATATTAAATATTTTTCTAGTATAAACTTTTTCACCTACCTACTTTTGAGAAAATAAGCACTTCCATGCTCATTTGTACAAACTGGGTGAGAATGTGAAACAAGTAAATTAATTTAGAATGCATTAATTCTGCTCCAGATCTTCATTAGATTTATTTTTATAAATTTTATATATAAATACATAAATCACAACTCCACTACTAGTGGTATTACTGCACCACTCAAATATTGGTTAAATATGTGCAAACTTTTGTGTGAAGTGTAAACTCTTGTGTTCTATTTTGAAGGGTTTAGGAAAGCCAGTGTAATTATGTGTGAGGCATTCCTCCTAACCCTCAAAAATGTCAAAGCACCTGTGTCTTCTGTATTTAAACTTGATTGACAAAAAAGAATATTATTATTCCTTAATGTAATTATTTTATTGAAAAAATACAGATCATAACAAAATTCCACAAATCTAACTATTTTTAAATATTTTTTTAAGGTTTATAATACATTAAAAAATAGCACAACTTAAGTTTGACAAAATTTTAAACTAATTTCTTAGCCTCAAAGAAACTCTTGAGGTGCCTCATCTGCCAATAGCCAATACCAACGAGGACAGCTGTCTGCATAAGACTCCACCACAAAACACGCTGATTTGTGCTCTCTGATGTCTGCCTAAACCTTTCCTCCCTTTGCTGCAAGAAAATACATATTTAATATGGTTTGACTTAATATATGTAGAGTAAATTAACTGGATAGGGATTTCAATTTTTTCTTAAAATAATACATAGTATCTAATTAAAAAAAAACTATATCTCAGTTTCAATAAGTATTGCTCGTTACTTCATTTATTATTTGGTGTACAATAAGGAACAAATTATTAAGGATTGTATACCCTCTGATAACTTTGTTCCTTAGTAATCTGATGAACTTGATCGAGCAACTGTCTTATCCTCAGTTGCAGTTCTGTCAATTTGTCCTTCTTAGCCACACTGGCATAATCCACTGCATGTTCACCAACTTGAATGTCAAGATGTACCTAAAATAAATGAAAATACATTAAATAAAATTTATAATTTGTATGATCATACTAAATCAGTATATTATCTAAATACGGCATAATAGTGTAAATATTTTATGCTATATATGTGTTGTAAGCTCCAACATAATTCCATTTACTAAGAAAATGTGACATTGGCATTATCATTAGGTATATCAAACATTGTCGACAAAGTGCAGCATCGAAGGTGTGATCTAGGCTAATGTGTCTATGAACCTTACAGAAAATCAGCCCAAATTTAAACAGGCCTCCAGCAATAGGCTATCAAGTATAATCTAATATGTAAAAAATATACGTATAAAATAAAATAAATAAGTACAACCTTGCAACAGCAGTACTTGCAACAATGGTAAATTGAAATATTATAAGAACTGCAAACTGTTAGCATAAATATTTATGTTTAAAAAAGTGTTTCATCAATTTCATGGTAAACATACTGTTAATTTAAAGCATTAAACAATTTTCCATTCTACATTTTTCAAATCAAAAGAATAAAATGCATGTTGTAAACCTGACTTGATAGTGGTATTTTGACACATTTCTCTTCATCATCACAATTCAATAAAACACAGCTTGAGCCAGTTACATCTTTACTGTCCATTAACCACCCGCATGACTCAAAGATGTAGTTGTGTCACTACATTAAGCTGGGTAAATACAAAATATGTAAAGAAAACCTTGTCCGATCCAAAAGGGGACATGGGTATCCCAATGATGTTACTATTAATTAAAAGTTATTATTAATTTTTATTAATTTAAGTTATTATTATTCAAAATATGACTGATGATATACATGCTTATCCAGTTATTTTTAAATCTTACATCACATATCACATGGTCGTTTCAGTATCACCATTTAATAAATATTATATTAATCTTAAAAGATATTTTTTATTATATTTTCAGAGAAATCAAAATCTCCCTCCTTCATCTTCCACCATCGGATAACCAGATGTTCGGCCAGTCTTTACCCTTGTTGACTAACCACACATTCAAACCAAACATTTTGCTTCATTGTTCATCATGCATACAGCAAAGGAGGAAAATGGAATAAGTTGCCAGCATCTGTCTTTCCATCCGATTAGTGTGGGTGTCTTCAATGCAAGAGTGAATAGGTTTTTGTTAAGTCAGTGCGTTTTACCATCTTAGGCTACATCACCACTACATCACAGGTGGGATTGTAGCTAAGTAGCGCTGGCTTAGAATAATAAATAAAGAATAATCATCTTGTAAAACAGATCAGATCAAAATATCTAAAATACCCACATGGATTAAACATGTTTATCTTTACATATTGTATAGGTTAAAAACAATTATCAGTAATAGATTCAGATTTTTTCTGTCATAAAATTTTTGACTGCTTATAACACCAACTGGAACAGATTTGTCAACTTTATAAAATTTTCATCCATTCATATTAGCTTCCAATTTAAGCATCTTTTGTATCAAATAGTAGAACAGAAACATAATAATATTTCCCAAATCCGACAAGGGTCTTCATCTTGTAGGGATGAAAATATAAGCATCAAGACCTTATAACAAATAGTATAAAATATGCAGCTCATAGTATAAAATGTACAACCAGTAAGTTCATACAATAAGAGGTCAAGAAGTTCACAGAATGGCGGGGTTTGGCAAGACTGAGTTTACTTATCCAGGTAGGCGCTAGTTAAGTGACTCATTGTTAGTATACAATTTTTTGGGATACAGAACGTATCCTTTTGATTGATTATAAGAAATGTGGTGTTTCCATAACGGGAGAATACTATGCTTCTTTACTAAATCAATTTAACCTGTTCGCCAAGCGAGCGCGCGACATGTTATACTCCCGTTCACTCGGGACCTTAATGGCGGGAAAATTTGTAAGTTAGAAAATTTTTTGCTATATTGCAAATTTTGCTATATTTTCACTTTGAGACAATATTTATGGATAAAACTTACAGGAATTCTTGTTTAATGTATAAACTATCGAATAAAATTATTTTAGGTTGCTAGAAATTGTAATAAAATACGTAAATTACCCTGTATAGCATAGTAGTTTAATTTTAGTGACAAAATTACTACTAATTTGAATTCTACACTTTTGTTTTTGGAGAAATTTATATGAAAATGTTTGGAAATATGTATATTTTTATGTTTTATGTGTTTCCATTCGTTACTCATACCAAAATATTAAAATATTAAAAAATTAAAAAAAAATAATAATATTTTATCTGTACGACATTTCAAACAATATTTCAAACATATTTTTGTGTGAATTTGAAATAAATACAACGTCAAGTTATTTGAAATATGTAAGAAAACTATTTTTACTTACATTTTACACTAAAAATAAATGAGAATTTGAAAAATAACACATTTATGACCCAACCGCCAAAATGGAGCTTCCGGATTTTGAAGTACTTTTGGCAATTTACTTTTCACTTTTTATACCACAAATTATATATCTACGTGTTTACTATATTACAAGGAATATAAAAAAGTATAATACTTTCGTTTTTAGTCCAGACACAAATATAAAATTCTATAAAAAAGACTGAGCACCTTCATCAAAACGACACGTGGAATGCCGAAAGTTCAGAGTGATTTCTTTTTTTTTTTTAAGAAACATTGCCAGGTTGTGGTTTAAAATAAAAGAGCATATCTTTGTCTTTGATACTATTATCTATTGCATAGTGTCTTTGGTTTTGTTTAAAACGAAAAAATAGTTTTTTCATAGGTACACACGTTTACATAATTCTGATCTAATTAGCGCACTACTTGGCGAACGGAAGGATGGTATTGTACGATCAAAAGTGCGCATGGCTTGGTTAATAGGTTAAAGAAGCTATTAAAGAAAAAAAGCTTACAAAAGGTGTGCTCCTTTTACATGACAATGCGCTCATGCACACAAGTCATGTTACAACAGCTACCATTCACCGGTATGGTTTTGAACAACTGCACTACCCACCCTATAGCTCAGACCTGGCCCAAAGTGACAATTATTTGTTTCCAAAAATGAAGTAAGAACTGCATGGGAAAAACTTTGGCGATGATGATGAAGTGAAGTCGGCAATTTCGGCCTATTTTGATGCCATAGACAAATCTTTTTTTTTTTCGATGGTATTAATAAGTTATTTGACAGATCTAATAAATGTATTAGGGTTAAGGGAGAATACATTGAAAAGGTAAAATAGTTTAAATGTTTCATTTCATTATCCTTCCCTGTTATTCCGCAAACTTTTTGACCTCCCCTCGTGGTAATGAGCTTATTGGTGACATGAGTTAAGGTTTACAAGGAATACACAAGCTGACAAGTATATTTTGGAAGAATAAACATATCTACAACGCTGAACAGACAGGTGGTCCATTGCCTAGCACTGATAATGCTACTCTCCTTACAAGCATAAATGTTACACATAGTGGTCTTGGATGGATTTTTTTGTCAATTACTAGATCCGACAACAACCAGCACGGTCAGTTGGTACTTTGAGCTCTATATGCCTGGTCCATTGCCACTTCAGCTTTCTAATCCATTGGGCTACAACCAAATTACTAAATTTTATTTAAGAATACTTACTCTTAACTGTGAGCCACTGAACCATGATGTACTGTTAGAGTACATACAAATAACATGTTCACCAGGAGTAGTTGAAGTGAAAGAGTACATTCCCTCTGAAGAGTAGACACGAGACAATACTATTTTGTCATTGGGATCCCGCACTTCTACATGCATACCAATACCAGGAGTTGAAGGCATGAATCCTCCTGACCGAGGATCATACAGCTCGACTTTGTAGTTTACTGAAAACCATAAGCCCCACTTCAAATATACAGTACAAAAATAAGTGCGCAATACGACCTGTATCTTCGGAAATATTTATAATATAGTAACAATAACAGGAAATTACAATTTTTCTAATAGAATTATAGCTTCAAAATTGGAACGAAATGAAGTGTTACCTATTACAGTTGTGTCGTCCGGGATTTCTTCAATGAAGCATTTTCTTTCACCTTCTGCTATATGAAAATACAACGCCGAAGTCACGTCTAGGAATAGAATTATTGCTACAAAATTTGTTATTTTAAAAAACATGATGCCTCTGAGCTTTCAACTTTCGTAGGAACATCGGCAAAAATCAAGAACATGAAATGACACACGTCACACGTCATCTTATTTTTGTCTATGATCTTATTCTTAATCAATTTTATTCCAATGGGATATATGACCATAGATCCTATTTTAACGTATTTTATTCACAAAATTCTTCATAATACCTGACATTGTTAAATTTTTGGGCGTAATGGAAAATAATTCGATTATGACAGTAATTGTCCGCTTAGTAAGTGACGTGTAGAATTTATAGCGGCGCTGCCGTCGGTGAGTAGTGACTGCGAAGTTAGCTGTTTATGAGTACAAGTAGATGAAGTTAGTTGAATAATGTACAAATTTTCTCCGCGGTATTGGTAAGAAAATTTTCATGCTCCGTAATTTAATAATTTTTGACAAAAAGAAACATTAAAAAATGAAGAAATGTTTTATTGTTCTTGGATATGCAAGTGGTTTAGCATCTGATCGGAAAAATAGACTGAAAATGACTTTTATTGACGGAACTTTACGATCGCAGCGCCTCACTTATGGTGTCTATATTTCTGGGACACTACTTTTCTACGGCGATCGTTCTCCTGTTCTCTAACCTTCATGGTACGAAGCGATCGTTCTGCTGTTCTCTAACCTCCATGGTATAATCTAACGTTAGAATAGATTGGCAATCACTGAGAATAAACGGTGACACGTTTAGGCAATTTGATTTGTGCCATTTTGGCGCTGACAACAGAAGTGAACGTCCACGGAACTAATTATAAGGATAAGACAGTGTAACAAAATATATCCATAAGAATTCTAATAACCTACCTATACTTAAATAAATAGAATGTACTCTATGAATAAATGGCCTCTGCCCGTAACCCCTTTTTCCTATCCTAACCCAATCCAAGGTGACGAGCGTACCGTGCCGATGGATGCGTGTCTGGAGGGAGTACAGTCACAAACGGTGGCCATCCGAGACCAGGGCGATTCGGGTAGTATTTTAGCCCTTCCCTCGGCATGCGGGGCTCTGCCGGGGTGATCGAATATTCCCTAGAGTTTCTTATCGTTACGGCTAATCGTGGGACCAAATGGACGAAAATCGATATTTTACAAAGAATAATGAAAAAACTCCTCTAATGGAACTATTTGCAGGTTTGGAAGAGGCTCTTTTAGCCTCACCAATATCCTTACGCAACATTACGCCCTAACCTGGGGTGAGTCGTGAAGTGGATGGCACGTTTTCAGCCGAATCAAGCCAGTTTTCAACAATCGGAAACGAACCAGGGAGGGGAAAAGAAAAAGTTCGCTAGGCCTTATAGCGGCTTAGATAGGAGCCGAAGTGGCCCTCTCTCTGTCAGAAGCCCTGGGACGAAACTCTTCTATCCAAACTACCTCCAGTTCCCAAGGCTAAAAAACGCAGTCGGTCTGAAGAAGAGTCCCCCAAAGACCAGCCCAGGAATTCTGTGAAGCTGACAAAGCTTCTTCACTTCCGCGCATGTAGGTATTCGCAATTCGAACCCTATAAGTGAGAAGCAGATGCGGCTGGTCCACAAGGCACTAACATGGGCCGTCGCTAAGACGGCCTGTGGGGCGCAGCCGGGAAAAGGACCAAAGTTTTCGGGTTTAACTCACAAGCCAGGTTGGATTCTGGTAACGTGCCTGAATAAACGTGGACTAGATTATGGGTGAAATCGGAAAACTGAAACCCTAGCCGGAGGCAGAGCTCTCGATAATACCCGAGGGTGAATTGCCTGAGCCTCAGCTGGGCATTACCCATTTGCCCCGCAGCGAAGCTGACTCTCCAGAGGAGGCGGCTGTGCTGTTGAGGGCACAAAATGAAGGGCTCCATACCGAGCTATGGGGAATCCTCTACCATAGAGACGAGGAGAATGAGTTCCTAGTAACCTTTTCTCTGAACGACCCATCGGCGGAGGCTCTTCGGAAGGCAGGCGGCAGAGTCGTCCTTGGTTTTAAAATGATAACTTTTAAAGTCAAACAAGGCTCTGACGTGGCAATGGAGTCTGAACCACACCAACTCCGATCCCTCCAGCCCTCCACCTCTCGAGGTGAGACTGAAAGGTCATCAGTGAGAGTGACAAAGAGTAAAAGCGCTAATCTTGCCTTGGTCCAACGGCCATCGCTGGTGTCTTCGAGGGGTGTGGGAGAAGGAAGGTGGGAGCGGTATAGTGAAAGGTAAGGCACGAGGTAAAGAGCGCCGGTAAAAGACGTCTTCATCCTAAACAGGCGAAAAAGTCCCCTGCCCAAACATCACAACAAACCAGTGGTTGGTTGTGATGTTAATGCTCACCACTCCGACTGGGGAAGCACTAACATCAAGGAAAGAGGTGAGTTACTTTATGATTTTCTCATCATCCACGGCCTGGTAAGCCTAAACTTAGGGTATACATCAACCTTTGTAACGCGTGCTTGGCGAGAAGTGTTAGAGATAATCTTTCCTACGAATAACATATCCAGGCTGATAAATGACTGGCATGTTAGTAATGAAAACTCGATGTCGGATCACAAACACATTAAGTTTGTGATTGGACCATCACCAACCTATAAAACCTTTGGTTTTAGGGATCCAAAAGCACCATTTGTTAGACCAATACATAAAAAGAGTAATAAGTCTGACTACAATAACTATAGGCCGATCACTATATTACCTACCATTAATAAAATAGCTGAGAAATATGTTAGTAGACAGTTTTATAACTTCTACGAGAAAAATAATATACTGACTTATAAACAGTTTGGCTTTAAGCCTCACAAAAATACTACCCAACTATTAACGGCTTTCACAAAAAGCATCTACAAGCATCTTGATGAGAAAAATCACATATTGATGGTTTTTATAGACTACAGTAAGGCGTTCGATACACTTAGTCATGAGCAACTATTAGATAGTCTGAACGATAATGATAATAATGGTATCAGAGGACCACTGCTGTCATGGTGTAAAGATTACTTCACCGATAGAAAATATGTGGTTAAAGTGGGTGATTCAATAAGCAACATAAGAAATATATCTGTAGGCACTGCACAAGGCTCCGCAATAGGACCTTCACACTACATTACCTTTGTAAATAGTCTGGCTAACAATATCGGGCGATGTGAAATTTACCAGTATGCTGATGATAGATGCTTGGTTGCGGCTGGGAGCAATATAAAGACACTCTCAACCTCCTACAAGACGATTTTAACTTATTCTTCGCAGCTTTTAAGACTAATCCTTTATCATGTGACCACTACGTGTCTAGTCAAAATAGGAGTAAGGTTATAACTATAGGCTTATTGCGCATGACCACCAATGCCTTCACAGACGACGGGCCCAAAGGACATGTAACTGCGAATCCATATACCTAGTAGAATCACAGGCCTACTTAGGACTCGTGATAGATAGCCGCCTAAATTGGAATGAACAGAAACGGTGATAAACTTCGCGGTATGCTTGAAAATTTTTCTATAATTTAATGTAAAATTCCATATAAAATACTTATACAGCTATATAAATCACTGGTGTAGTCAAAAGTAGCATATAAATTGTCTAGCTATGGCAGAACGTACAGATCACATTTAGAACATATTTATCTACTGCAGTTACGTATTTTAAAAACTATAGTCGCGGACATTATTAAAAAACAATATAAAGAATCAGATTACGATAACCCTTTTAGTCATTGCAAAGTTATACCTATACACAAAAAGGTAAAGTTTACCCTTCTTATAGAAGAATTTTTCCATGAACAGTTAAAAACTGCCCATGCACGTGATTACTCTAAAACTCGCAACTCAGGAAAACCTAAACTAACCTTACCTAAATACATTAACTTATATATTGTATACGTACCTTAGAATGTATGATCCCTAACCTAATTAACCAGCTACCAGTATCTGTAAAATCAGAACTAAATAAAAAAAAGACGTGTGGCACTCGGGGACTGCTGCGGTAAAGCTATTGCATAGCATAAGGACTACGTAAATATTCAGTACAGCAAGATTGGAAGAAAAATGACGTCTAAATATTTTTTTCGTATTTAGTAAACGAATAACTAGTTGGTAAATTAATCATGATATATATCTTTTTTTTTTCGCCGGAGACTAAAATGATATTGCTTTTTTTCGTAACTGCAGATTCTGTGGATTTATATCATTATTTTGAACAATATACGAAATTTAAGTGACTAAAATTAAATCTAATCTGAACCAGAATCATAAAAACTGTATTATTCGTGCTAAACGAATCTAATAAATATCTGTTATTTTTGTCTCCTGCGAAAAAAACAGACTATACGAATCTTTCGAATACCTACATAAACAAAATATCACCTATAAATAAAATATTACAAAGCGGAATAACTAATAACAGTGGCAACGTCGCACTATACAAAGGAATTGCGTAGGTGGCACAAGTCGCGGGCTCGAACTCATTGGTGGGCGCGGCCAAAAAGCACGTTGTCTCACCTGGCATCGTGCCACTCGTACTAAATTATTAGGCGCTGCGTTATCGCTTTATACTATACCTCTATGGCTCTATAGATACCTAATATAGATTGCTTATTTTATTATGTTTAGTTTTCCCCGGGTGGTCATGCAGCGATCACTCAAGAGTTCACGACGCTGAAGTATGAACTGGAACAGTCATCGCAGTTTATATCCGTACTAGCTGTTGCCAGCGGCTTCAAACGCGTGAACTCCAAAATTATCCCACAGGAACGAAATACCTGAATAAACGGTATCAAATGTGTTATTCCAGACTAGGTATAACCTATCTCTGAGCTAAATATCATCCAGATCCCTTCAGCTGTTCTGGCGTGATTGAGTAACATACATCTATCCATCCAAACTTTCGCATTTATAATATTTAGATAATAATTGTAATTAGTTCTGCCTACCTATAAATTGTTTTCAAAAATACTTACCTGTCTTCTTACTTTTTTTTATATACACACAATATCACTAGATGTAAACACATGTTTTTATCAAGACAAGTGACCCGTCAAGACTGTTTCCTTAGTACCGACGTACTTAGGCAGGTAGGTAGGCAGTTTACATTTTAGTGTCCACGACGCAGCGACAGTTTGTCAAATTTTGTTGTATAGTAGGTTATGGGTATAATGATTTCTTAATCATTAATCAGGTTATGGGTATTTAGGTAATAATAGTAGGTAGGTACCTATCCACCGAACCGTCAA